GATAGCATGCAAATCCTTCCAGCAGTGTGATGGGCTCTGATGGTGTCTTTCACATCGAGTGGCAGATGCCTCATCATGTGCAATATGTAATGCAGGGTGGAATCATTCCCTGCCTGCAGGGAACTTAGCAGGTTGCACCCAGCTCCTCGTGCTTGCAGGCAGAAGGGGAATTTTGGAAATCAGGTTTGTGTTGGGTGCCTCGTTGTCTCCTAATCCCTGCCCTGTGCATGCGTGCACATTTGCTCTGCCCTGAAACGTGAGCTGCATGAGGCTGGTGAGAGATACAGGCTGAATGTATCTGGGGAGGGTGGGAAGGAAGAAAACTCCCAGCAGTTGTTTAAAATGGATTGTAAAAGACTGAAAAAAACCCAACACACATGCATAAAAAAAAAAAGACACCAAACACATTACGAAAAAGTTGTGGTTTCTTAAGCTGGTTTGAATTCCTGGAAGCTGATGGAGCCCTGGGTTGTTGTTGGGTTTTAGGCATCTTTCAGGCTTTTTGGATGGTTTGGAGTGTGGGTGTGTGTGGGGAAAGAGCTGGGGATAAACCAAAGCTAAAAATGGTCAGGGAGCACAGGAACAGGATGAGTGCATGCACCATCTTCTTGTTTCATTTATGTATTTATTTCCTAGGCTTGTTGGAGACTGGGGGAGGTGATGGATGGAGCCCAGTGGAGGTGGATCCTGAAGGCCAGGTTTAGGATCCTTCATGATTCACCACCACATCTCACCTCCTCAGCTATGGGAGATTCTCTCCTTTTGCCAAATAGCCAATGCCAGCTTCTGACTGATGTCCTTCCTCAGAGATGGGGATGTGGACAGCCAGCCCTGCCAGCCCTGCTCTGGTGGTCTTATCTCAGCATTTCAGATGACGTCAATCAGAGTAACTCCCTTCCTTTCTTTCCCAACTGGAAAGCCTTCCTTTGAAAATATGAATATCTGCATGATGATGATGATTGTTTTTTTTTCCCAGTAGGTTAATTAATAGATGATTCATCACCTTGAAAGCTAATGGGTATTTATCCCCATCACGGAGGAAATGAATGCCTTCTATAAATAAACGACACCCGCTCACAGCCCGTCCTTATTTATGCAGCTTCTCCTTCAGGAAACCAACTCAGCTGGAGGAGCTCATGCTGTTTCCTGGGCTGCTTTGCACTGTCCTGCTTTGGTGTTCCACACAGTGAATGCAATGCCCTTCAGATGGAGGGAGCACAGCATGATCTTCCCACTCTGGACTGGCGAAGGCGATGCTCGGTTGGGTTCTCCCATGGGCTGGAGGTCCCCGATGTGCAGTCGAAACAAAAAATCCCAGATTGTTCACCAAATATTGGGAAACCCTTTCTGAGTTCCCATCTGCTTCACATCAGTGGTGTTTATTGTCTTTGTTTCCAGCTCTCCAGCTATTGTCAGCGGTGACCTTAATTAAGAGCACATTAACAACCACGTCTAGCTTGTTGCTCACGCGCATGGAATTAAGAAGCAATTATTTACTTTTACTGCTTGCTTGCACAGAGCTGCTGTGCCCCGTGGGGGCAGGAAGGTCCATCTTCTCAAGGACTTTGTGGTGGAACGAGAGGATCTGAGTGCTCCTCCTGCACTGCTTGCTCCCTCTGTTCTCATCGTAAGCGATGGAATTTGTGTTGCTGCCTTCAAGGATGGAATCTGTGGGGCTGCCTCCAGGCTCCAGAGTAACACCAGTGTGTGAGAATCCGGGTTGGTTCGTGTCCCCATCCCTCATGGAAGCACGAGCTGAAAGCTCTGAGCACAAAGGAGCACGGGGACATTTTTTTTAGGAGACTTTTGAAAATCTGTGCTGCTTTGGAGAATTTATTATTTTTTAATTCATCTTTAGGGACGTGGGTTCATGAATTTTTAATTCTTAAGCTCGGCGGCCCTGGCTGAATTAAGAAGGGAACAACTGATTTTAATGAGTGTAAGATTAATGCAGACGAACTTGGCTCCCAGCCCTCTCCTCAGCGCCCACTGCATTCCCACTCTCTCTGCTCATCACCTGGGGAGATGCTTTCCCCCCGTTAGCATTCAGGCTCATGCTTTTCCCTCATCGTGGCACATCCCTGGGTGAACTTTTGCATTTTTTGTTTTTTTAATTGTTTTATTTGTTTGGAGAAGTGCTTGGTGCTCTGCTTTGTATAAATTGTGGTTACGGACAGAAGGGCCCAGCACTGGGCAGAGCTGTATAATCAACTCAACGACTTGTGTCTCCCTATGCACCCCCAATCAGATATTTGCATAGTGAATGATTTTATTACCCAAGCAATAAGAGAGGCTGAGCTGAACTGATTTTATTCCATTCTGTGGGCAACACTCAGCTTTCTATCTCTATGTTTCACCGTACGCTTTAAGCACTGCCTTCCTGGGCTGTCGGGTAGCAGAAACATTGGTGAGCAGTGTGTGCCAAACAGCACCAGACACCACATTCTTTCTGTGCTTTTTTTTCCCCCTACTTGCCCCCAAACTGCTGATTCCTGCTCATGCCAGCCAAGGGCAGCCATTCCCAACCACAGACCCAGTGCCCTTCTGTTGTTTGTGCTACCCACCAAGTGCACATTTTTTCTCCTTTCAGCACAGCAATTTCCTTTATTTTTCCTGGGCTCAACTTAAAGTTTGTGCTTTGGTTTCAAATAAAAAAATAAAAAAATAAGGTTTTGTAGGGCTTTGATTGCCCTGACGAGGATACCAAAGTGGAACATCTGAACACCGGGAGGAACATATCCCAAGAGCAAGGGTTTGCATGTCCTGTTTTTAAAGCTGCTCTTATAAAATGTTCAAAAGCTTTTCAGTGTCTGTGAATGGCTGTTTCAGTGGCTATGTTAGTGGCTTAACATGGCTGTTGTTAGTGGCAGCATCTGTAACTTGTAACTGTGATATTGCACGCTCAAGAGGAGAAAAAGGAAAGGCACTGGAGGTTCAGGTTGGATATTAGGAACAATTTTTTTCTCTGAGTTGAGTGGTGATGCAGTGGCACAGCTGCCCTGGGAGCAGGGGGGTCACCATCCCTGGAGGTGCCCCAGAACCATGGGGAAGTGGCAGTGGGTACAGTGAGGTGGGCTGGGGTTGGGCTTGGGCATCGTGGAAGTCTTTTCCCACTGATGCCCCCAACATGAACAATAATGAAGAAGACAAACAGAAACACTGACGTGCAGCTGAGATGCTGACGTATTCAGCACTGAGGGTCTAACAAAGATGAATGTGTTACATGAGAAAAAAGTTGGAACCTGGAGCACGGGTTGCTCTGCAGTGCACAAAACAAGCCTGCTAACTTCGTGGCCTGTGATTGAAGAGGTGCCATCCTAATGGAACAATGCCCTTTCTGCTGCACCTCTCAGAGGCAGAAATGGAAACTACAGTCATGTATTGCAGACTGCCCTGTCCCCACCCTTGTTGGATGAGCAGGGCAGCAATCTGCTGCCAAATGTCTGCAGGGAGGTCTTGGAGCACTGAGAGCAGAGCAGGGCTGGGTTCTGCTGGATGCTCCACACCCTGTGCTGGGTTGCACTGGTTTTACTGGCTGAATTTTCCAGGTGTTTCCAAGTACAACCGAGCAGCAGCCGGCATTCTGCCAGCCCCTGGGAGATGTTTTTCCATCCCTGACCCTGAGCTATGACAGCAACCACTGTGCTGGGACCAAGCGAGAGGAGCCAAGCCACAAACCCTGGAACCTGCAAAGGTGGAGAGTTTAAAGGCAGTAAGGACTCATTTCCCAGGCAGAAAACCCTGCTGCAGCCTCACCCTCCCTGTTTACTGCAGGATGAGCCCTCAGAATTGGGCCATTCTCTTCCTGTGGCTCCCAGCACTGGGCTGGCAACAGAGGCCATGGCATCAGACCCGGAGCTGTGTTTTTTCCAATGGGTTTGGGCAGCGAGCAGCTGATGTCACAATAAGTGGCTGCCACAGATCCCAGAGCCCAGAAGGTGCTGCAAACCCCACTGTAAGAAATTTTTCCTAACAGGGCATTCAGATGTCTTCTGAAGGAGGAAAAGACAGGGTTTGGCTTTGGTCTGAATGCACGGAGATCCCTTGCTAGCTGGGTTCTTCCAAATGGCGTTAGCAAATGGTTCCTCTTGTGGGGTTGTGAAAGAGAGATTTCAGCATAATTACTATCAGTTTCCATTTAAACCCATCTTCCGGCAGAATTAGGGGCAGGGATGGAAAGAGCACAACATCCGAGTGCCCATTTTCCAGCACTGCAGATAAAGAGACCCTTAGCGGTGCTGGCTCTGGAGAGAAAATAAGCATGCGGGTGAGTTGCATTTATCCATGTTTTTGTGGTGAGCTCTGCATTCATCCTTATTTTGACACTCCTGTGATTTAGAGTAATTGCTGAGAACTCCCTGCTCATTGCCTGCAGAAGGACTGGTTGCAAAGTACGACTGTTGCAGCCACTGTTGGAAGGAGCAGTGGATAAAGGCACTCCTGGTACCTCTGAGAGGCCCCACGTGTGTTCCTTGTCCATAGCAACAGACACTGTTTGTAGTGGAATAGTGCACCAACAATGCGTTTCATCTTTCACCCAGGGATTAAAATGGCCTCTGAATGAGGCAGCAGCTGGGGGATCTCCTAAGAGCATAGGGCAGCACGGGGCACCTCCTGCCCCAAAGGGACCAGCTGTGGGGCTCAGCACCAAGAGCTGCTCTGTGGGGTATGGCTTTCAGCCATCATTCTCTTTGCAGGTGAAGAGGGGCCTACTGAGTTTGTTCTGTGTCAACAAGGAGAGCTTAAATACCATGAGTGAAACATTCCCATTGTCTCATGTGGTTTGCTTGGACTGCAGGAGGAACCCTCTGCTCTGACTCCCTGTGCACAAATGGGATGCACAGGACCCAAATGGAAGTTCTTTATTTTTAATTTTTCTTTCTCCATCTTGTAGCAGAAACGTTAGGTCATGGCCTGAAGCGGTGATGGAGCACCTGGTGGGAAGACAGGGCCAACCCAGGGGAGCTCAGGTGCGTGCAATGAACCTGAGTGACCAGAAGGGCAGCAACCAGGATCCACCCCTTCCCAGTCCTCATTTAAGGGTTGGCAGTGGAGGTGAGGACATCTCATTTGGAGGTCCTTGAGTACCTGAGGCCTTTTAAAGGTAAGCAGATCATTTCCTTTATTTCTGTGCTCGCAGCTGTTGTATTTGAGTAAGCCTTCACTTGCTGCAGCCTGGGACCTGGCTACTCTGCTGTCATTACTGTGCTTTCCATTGTGTTATGTGTCTCTATGCTCTTCTGTGACTGCAGAGCAGCAGGGGAACAAGGCTGTTGGATGGCCCTCTCTGTGCCCCTCCTGGCTGTACCTTCTGATGTCCAGTATGACAACTGCTCCTACAGATCTCCAAATATTTGCTTTCAGGCTTTATTTTTCCCAATCCTTGCAGAGCTTGCAGATTTTACCTAAGATTTTCTTGGAGTGCAGGGCAGCAGTGCCCTCTATTACTAACTTTTATTTTTAATTGCAATTAAAACAAGATAGGGTTTGAAAGCCAAGCATGAGGCACCTGTTCTCAAACACGTGGGTCCGGCTCTGTTTTGCTTCTCGTTTCTCGGCTAACAAAGTGCTTTCAATCTGCATTGCTGTTCGGTTCTGGCGGTGCGGGGGGGGGGATGGATGCGGGGCTGTCCCGTGCAGCTCTCGGTGCCGCCGGGAGGTGGCACAGCGCACCCGGAGATGCTGCGGGGTACGGGGCGATGCGGCATCCCGAAACGGGAGCGGTGTGAGTCATTGGGGTAGTTCCAGGAAGGAGAAAAAAGGGCTAGCGTCTTCTTTCTCGGAAGCTCATTGTGCGAGATCTTTGTAGACGGGGGTGGAGGGGAGGGGAAAAAAAAAAAAAAGCAACAAAACCCACATTTAATATCGAGAGAAGGGGAAAAAATGAGTGTTTCCAAGTGCTTTGAAGGCATGCAGCTGTTGGGACAGTCTGTGCTATGGGTTGCCATGGCCTTTCCCAGCTGAGCACAGTCCCAACTGACCCCTGATTATTTTCCTCTCTCCCCCCCAACTGCTGCTCTCACTTGCTGCCCATCATCCTGGTTATAGCTTCTCCCAACCCATCCCATCACCATGTGCTGCAGGGATTTTCCCCTAGGAGCAGGCTGGTGGCTGAGCATGTGGCTTCTGAGCCTCCCACCTGTGGGTCTGGTGCTGCTGGTTCCCAAAGCAGCCCACATTTCCCTGTGTTTGGCCCAATTTCACCTCTTGGAGCACTTCTCAAGCACCTGCATCTGAGGTGATGCAGCTGGAAGTGACATGCAGTGTTCTTTTCTAACCACTGGCAGCATTCCCTTTCTAGGAAAGGCAGAACAGAGAGGGTAGAGTCAGGGGATCAGGCATCTGGAGACCAGAACAAAGAGTTGTTTTCTACAAAACATTGGCTACGGAGCTCCTGCTGCAAACGCTGTATTTTGAGTAAATTATCATCCATATTTCACTTGAATGGATGATTTAGAAAGGCATTGATATTGTTGGCAACCAACGTGCTATACCACTTATCTCGTGCCCAGTTTGCAACCAGAATAAAAGGTGATTTCCCAGAAACAGAGTTCTTTCTCTCCCAGTTTTCCCTTTCTGTTTTCATTACCAAAACATTCACTCAGCAGCAGCTTCGTAGGTCCCAGGAGACCAACATCCAACCTCTGTCCCCTCAATAGGGCCCTTTCAGTGCAGGATCCCAAGGACAGTGCAGGCTGCTGTGTCCTAGCATTGGGGGCTCGGGATTCCTCCACCTTTAGCAGCTCCCATGGGTGCCTTTTCCATAACCAGTTTTTCCCCAGACACTCTTTAAAGCCAGCTATGCTTGTAGCTTTCTCAGCATCCCTGTGGCTGCAGGCTGTGATGAAGAAGATGGTGTGTGAGCTCATGGGAGCCCATTTCCTCCTTTTCAATCTCTTGTGACTGGCAGTGACAGATCCTGATGTGAAATATGGAGGGACTGCAGGTGGTAGAGCAGCTCTTCAAAGTGCTGTTGAGAGGCTTCTCTCCTGCCCTCAGGGAAAAGCACAGTGGCAAAAACAAAAGCTCTTTTCTTCTTTCTTTTTGTTGTGCCTTCTGAATTCCTACTTAGCATCCTGGAAGCCCTTCAGAGGATTTGCATTTAGAACATGCAATGAATTTCTCACAGTGTGGGGCTGGAGGAATTGTGCTGGTGCAGCAGCAGTGCAGTGGGGCATGGCCTGGGCTGTGCCCAGTGAATTTGTACAACAGAGCTCTGCCTTGGGTCCTCCTTGTGCCATACAGCCCTTTCTTTTAGTTTAAAAACCATTTTGTAATAAATACAAAGGGAGCACAAGAGGATGTTTCCAGAACCCATTGCAGACCTCACCTCTCAGCCCATCTGTGTATGAGGGGCTTAAGCAGCTGAAGAAAGATGGAAAAAAAAGGGTCATTTATGACTCAAATCCTGACCACCCTGATGGTGATCTGGCTGCTGGGTTGCTGTTATTGAGTATTTCCACGTGTCCAGGCCGATGGGTGGCAGCTGGGATCCCAGGGCAGGTGGCAGCAGGCAGAATTATCACCCTGACCACAGCTGGATGGTGACGTGACCTCAGGCTCTCCTGGTCGGTTTGGAGGCCCCTGGCTTCTTGTTTGTGGGCATACACATTGTTACAGCTGGATCCAGGTTCCTGGGAGGGATGAGGTGCTGGGTGGTGGTAATGATTCTTTGGGCAAACCCAAGGATTTCATGGCCAGGAGTTCATGGAACCACTAAGGTAGGGAAAGACCTAAGATTGTCTAGTCCAACTGTTCCCCTACTACCAATATTTCAAGATAAACCATGTCCCTTTGTACCACATCTACACATTCCTGGAACACCTCCAGGGATGGTGAACCCAATCAAGTGAAAGGGTTGCTCCAGCTTATCCCAAACCCAAGGATGGATGAGCCTTCACTTCCCACTGAAATCCATCAGCTGCCCTCACCTGACCCCAGCCTTGTCCAGGGACGCACTGTGTGCTGGTGGGTGACTGCTGATATTTTCAAATAGCCAGACTTCATTCAGAATAGTGCAGGGTCAGCAGGACTCAGCCCTGTACCTGCCACATGTGTGTGCCCAACAGCCCATCTCCTGTTTTGCCCATCTATTCCTGGTGTCTTTGCCAGGACAAAGATGAACAGTGACAAATGGCTGCTTCCATTTTGCCTAGAACATAAGTTCATGAACTTCTGCTATCATTCAAGTATGATTTAATTAAAACATCATGCCTTACACAACCATCTCCCTCTCTCCTCTCTATTTAGAAAGCACTTCCTGCTTTTTCCAGCTGGACAAGCGATCCTTCTGTCTTCTTTGAAGTAAATATTTTCTTCGGTTTGGCTGCTGTCACAGCCACACATAGTCCTCTGCCTGATATTTTATCCATCTGCTGCTGAAGGACTTCAGAGTATTTTCAGCCTAGAGTCTCCAAAGGGGTTGAGATGCTGAGTGGAGTTAAGGAACACCAGTGCAAGAGAAAAATGTTCTGTTTGGCTTTCACCTGTGCACTAAATCAAGCTCAACTGCCTTAAAAATGAACTATTTGCAGAGATGCTTGTGGGGATGTCCTGGTACTCACATGAGCTGTGATCATCAAGGGTCCTGGTGCACACTCTGTGCTCACGTGTAGGGCTGCAAGCCAGCCCTGGTTTCATCTTTTGTCTACAGGGGATGGAAAAAGAGAGCTGGACTCCCACACCAGTGAGGTTGCCAACATCTGCGTTGCTTTGCTTGTTGTGCCTGAAGTACATCTGGCCTGGGCAGTGCTGTGTGGGACGGAGCTGTGACAAAGCCCTGAATGGGCTGCAGGGCTGGCAGGGGATGACGCTGCCCTCACCATGATGCACTGATGGGGGCATGTGAGGATGGGAGCCGTGTTGCCTTTCTGGTGCAGCCACACATCGCCTTGTGTTGGGGCTGGATCCATCTCCCATGGTTTTACTTCGTTATCTACCCTACCTGATCCTGCCCTATCCTATTTTTAGTTCTCATCCTTCCAGAGATGCTCTGGAGAAGGTTACTTGGTGGTCAGCTGAGCTGTGAGCTCTGCCCAGCACAAAGCCACAGCTGCCTGCCGGACACCAGTTCCTTGTTCAGCATCACACTGTTTTATCCTCCTCCAAAGTTTGTCCTGTAGATATTTTGGAGCTTGCATCAGTTCTTTCCTTGAAGTTCCTTGAAATTCTCAGAAATATCAGTTCTTGTTGTTGCTCGCTTGTATTTAAGCAGAGCTGCTTCATTTACATCTGACCCCAGCAGAATTTTGTTACTGTCTGTGCTGCAGCTGTGAGGACACCTGGAAGCCCAGCAGTTCCCACCCAGACATTCTCAATCCTCCCAGACCTTTCAGGGCAAAACGCCATCCCTGAGCTCCCAGATTTGGAGCCCATGTGTGCCTCAGTCCCCCAGTACCCAACACTGGGAAACCATCAACTAGTACTGATTTTTTTTTTTTTTTTTTTTTTTATTTTTTTTTTTTTTTTTGTTTCATTATTATTTTTTTTCTAGGATGAGAAGTGATGGCCTGAAGTTGTGCCAGGGGAGGTTCAGGTTGACCATTAGGAACTATTTCTTCTCTGAAAAAGTGGCCTTTTTTGTTAGCACAGCTGCCCAGGAGGTGGGGGAGTCATCAGTGCTGGAGGTGCATCAGAGCTGTGGAGATGTGGCACTGAGTGATCAGTGGGCATGGTGGGGTGGGTTGGGCATGAGCTTGGGGATCTTAGAGATCTTTTCCAGTCTCAGTGATTGTATGATTCTCCCTTAAACTGAAAGATGCATATTGCTCCTTGCTGCTGCTCTGTGACGCCTGTTTGGAGCACAGTGCTTTGGGACTGGTGGTGAATGGCCCTTTGTGCAATGGGGGCATGCTGGCCACCCAGCTGCCAGCAGGGAAAATTAGAAAAAGTATAAAGAAGACATTATTAAACCTAAAAATAAATGCGAATCTGCATTTCCTCCCCTTAAACAGCAAAGCGAAGTGCTCATGAACTTTTTAAGCACTTGTCCATTCCCTGCTGCTAGCTAATCTCTGTTTTGTGCAGGGCACAGAACTCCTCCCAGCGCTGGCTGTGGTCCAGGTGCTGGGAATCTCAGTCTCATGCTGGTGATGGCACTGTCTCCATCACCATCACCCTTCTTTGTCTCCAGCTCCTGCCTGGCAGACTCAGGGCGCTCTGGGGGTCTTTTTCTTGTTAAAGAAGCGAAGGTCTGCATGTAGGGGCAGGAATACAGAGGGGAGCAACAATGTATAGAATCACCAAGGTTGGAAAACAGATCTAAGATTATCCAGTCCAACCATTAACCCACCATGCCTGCTAACCCCTAACCTGCTAATCCCTAATGTATTGCATAAGTGGCTGTGATATCAAGGTGACCATGGCTTGCACAGCCCTGAATTCCAGACTGCTGCAGATATCCTCAGGACACTGAAAGGGGCTCTTCTCTTTCCCTGAGTTTACTTTCTCTGGAGCTGAGTGCACAAGCAGGACTGAAGTGTCTGGGGCTTCTCATATCCTACTTCCCAGGGGTGGGAGTAAAACCATTGTGCAAGCAGAAGGGAAATCATCTCTGAATAAGTGTTCTATGGTTGCCAGAGCATGTTTTGGAGCTGAGTGCATGATGTCTACAGGCAGAGACTGCAACACAGCCACCAGTGTATGTTATAGAAGAAGGCTTCGTGTTTTCCTAAAGGGTTTTTGTTGTTGTAAATGAGCACAGGTATATAACATGAGGGCATAAGCATGTGTTCTACACAGACATTTATTGCAAAGATATAAAAATAGAGGGTAAACTTTAATAAGATGTGTTTAAAGGCATCTCTTAGTTCCATGTGTGTGGGAGATAAACTGAGGAGATGGGCAGTATGCCTGGACTTGCTGATGCACCCAGATCCACCAAGCAAAGCAAAACCTTGTCCTCAGAGATGGGGTAGGACCCACCTCTCTGCAATCCTTCCTGGTCCCTCTGCTCCAACCTGCTCTGCTTGATGGTAGCTCCCACTGGTGCAGGTACAGGTTCAACAAGCAGTTGTTGGAGACTCTCTTGGGACAAAACTCAGTGTAGGCACCCATGGAGTCCTGGTGAAATGCCTTCTGCATCAGAGTGCAGCCCTTGGCTGATGCTCCCAGAGAGGCAGAGCCTGATCCTCCTCCTGGTACACTGATAATGGTAGTGGATACGTGCAGTTATCACATCACTTAGGCTAATACAGAGTAATGTGTAAATGAGCATCATAGACCTTTAACTGTCCTCCTGCTGAAGTTGTTTCCATTCAAAAGGGCCATCCAAAGTGAGATCAAAATTATCCTTCTCCTGCTCTCTGGAGAGTTCCAAAAAGACCTAAATGGAAAATGGGAAGTTCTGATTATTTTTTTGGACCCTCCCTAGATTCTGTGATGCACCTTTGCAGGAGGTGCAGCTCTGCAACACCTCTCACAGGTACATGAAGTAGCTCTATGTGGGGAACACAGGCTCAGTAGCTGAAAATTCTGCTTATAGGTATATCCATGGGATGGTTTGTACTGATGGAGGGATTGGCACACACTGCTATGCTTTGCTGTCAGCCTTGTATGAGTAATGACCACAGTGGCTGGGCCTGGGCATCATCAGGGACATCCCTCTGTCCCCATGTGCAATGTGCCTGTCTTGGGTGACAACACACTGCCTGGGTTGTCCTGACCATCCTGCTTCCCAACAGTGGCAAAACTAAACCAAAACAAATCAAACTCCACCATTTTCCTGGCAGAGAATCCCTTACCAGCCCCCCAGGGCAGTTTCTTGCCTCTTGCTTCAGTTCTGGCCCAGACCTCACTGTGGTTTTGTTCACACCTTGAGGTCACATACCTGAGCCAAAGTATTCAAAGAGAAGCTGTACTCCTCGAGGCTGAAGTTTTGTTTGGCTGTGGAGGAATGGAAATTGAGTTGAAAACTACCTGTTGGTGTTTCACCTTTCCAAATAGTCGTCTTGCTTTGCTCTTACCTTCCTCTAGCTTGGAGAAAGACTGAGATAGGGGCAGTGCATCTTCCATTGGGACCTTGTAGACGAGCAAAGAGGGGAACCTGGAAGATAAAGAAGAAAAGGGGGCTCTTACTCTAGGTTGAACTCTTGCATTCAGAAGTTTGTTACAGTGTGAGCTGGACCTGTGGCTGTTTTACTGTAGGGATAGCAGCAGGGCTGGACTTGGTAACATTATTGAATTAGATCACCTCATTGGGACTATGACACGCAGATCTCTCAGTGGCAGAGATCCTGTATTTGGCCATCCCACTGGGCAGGATTTAGAGATGATGTAATACTAAAGCCACTGTTCATTCCCTATTTTGTAGTTACCTCTCCTGACGGGCAGCGCTTGGGAAAATCCTCAAAATCTCAGCATGGAGAAGATCAGTGGTCTCTGGGTCTTTGACTTTGATTTCCAGCACGTAGCCTTTGCCAAACTTGTTCTTCAGGTACTGAATGGAGCCAATGCACCTGCAGGTGAGTCAAGAAGAATAACGTCAGTGTGAACCCGCTGATGCTCCTTCCCAAATCCTACTGTTACGGGGCTCGCTTCACAAAGCTCAGGGTGAGGCTGGGGGATAAACCCTATCCTAGTCTTGTTAATACCCACCTTAGCTGCCCAGCTACCAGGATGGCCACGCGGTCGCACACCGCCTCTGCCTCCTCCATGTAGTGTGTGGTCAGCACGGCACCTGTCTCCTGGGTTTTCAGGGCAGCACGAATCACTTTCCTGAGGGCACAGAAGTTAAAAAAGGAGCCAACACTACCATAGAAATACCAGGCACTTGTTATCGAAGCTTTGCCCCTCTAACCCCTAAAACTACTTTTGACACAAGTCCAATTTTGGGTTCTTCTAAACTCCAATGCAACTATCCTAATGTTTGCAACAAGGAGAACTTCTTAATGCTTTGGATAAGGAGAACCAAGAAAACAGGTTTTGTTAAAAACAATTGTGAGCAGTATTAACTGCAGGTGGGATAGAATGCTCTTTAACCAACCCTACACATCCACTCCTGGTTTCCAGCCCCTCACCAAGCAGCAGCCTGGGATCCTGCTCACCAAATGCAGCGCTGTCCATTGGGGTCCATGCCAGTCGATGGCTCATCCAGCAGCAGGACTGAAGGGTTGCCCAGCGTGCACACAGCGCAGCACAGCTATGGCAGGAAGAGGGGTTGGGGTCAGACCTTCTACAGCCCCAGCACTGTGTCTCCAAGGAGCTGCAGGCAGTGCTGCATTCTTTATGAACATCAAATTTCTGATTGATAGGAGACAGACTTGGAAGGTGCAATGTGATCCTCTCCCAAGTGGTTGGGAGCACAGGTAGGTCCCACTGCTCCCAGAGGGCATTTTTCATTCATGCTATGAACATTACAGTGCTCATTATAGGAAAAAGAAGAAAAGGGGAAAAAAAAAAAAAGCACCTTTCTGGTTATCCCAGCAGGAAGTTTTCTGGTTGGCTTTTTTAAATAGTCTTGAAGCTCCAAAGCATTCACTATTCTGTGAGAAGGAGAAAGAAAGGGAAAAGAAGAAGTTGTCATTCTCTGCCACAGTGCTCTAATCAGAAGTTCCCAAAAGACTAAGAAAAAGGAACTTTCTTATCCCTGACTCTCTGCTCCTGTTTGATTTCAGTAAGTTGTGCCATAGAAACGTGAGCAAATGCTTACAGAGCCCTTCAGACTGGAAAAGACTTCTAACATCCCCAAGTCCAACCCCAACCCACCCTATGCCCGCTGACCATATCCCCAGGTGCCACATTTCCACAGTTCTGAACACCTTCAGGAATGCTGATTCCCCCCACACCCTGGGCAGCCCATGCCAACACATCACTACTTAACTGAAGTGCACTGAGCAGACCTCAAACTCTGTTCAAAAAGCTGTCACTTGTGTCAACAGCATTATAGATCCACTCCACCTCCTGTGCCTGCTGAGTAGGCACTAAGTAAGCATCCTCCTTGTAATGCCAAACAATAAAATCAGAGATTTTAGAAATGCTTCCTATAGGTAATATACTTTAAGGGATGTTGGTGGTAAATCCATCCCCACCAAATGCACTTAGGTAAGCTGGAGCTTTCCTTAACCCACTCGCTCAATCACAGCATTTAATACAAAATCCCTTTTACAGATTTGCTTCCTGAGTTTATTCCAAGGCATCTTCTTGCTCACAGAGGGTTCTGACATTCAGATTTCCTCACTACACCTTACGATGTGGAATAAACCCTTGATTGACCCCAGGACCACCCTCACCCCACACCTGTTGATGGCAGTGGCAATGTCCTCCTTGTGCACACCCTTTACAGCAGCGTAGACCTTCAGGTGCTCATGCACAGTGAGGTCTGGCCATAGTGGGTCCTCCTGTGGGCAGTGCCCCAGGTAGGCAAGCATGTGGTCCTGTGTCCAGCACAGCGTGGCATCTCGGCTCCTCAGCAGCACCTGTGTGATCACGCTGTGTTTCACATGTGCACAGCCACGGGTGGAAGGTTTGGAGGGAAACTATGGGCTTCACAGGGCTTTAGGGGAGGAAACCTGAGGGGTGAGGGATTGGTTTTGCAACCCTCAGATACGTGGCTCCTGAATATAATCACGGTGAGTTAGCATAGATGCACATGGTTGTTAGAGTTAGCAGCAGCTCACCATCGTTTTTATCAATGCATAATTCAATAGAACAATGTATCTGGTTAAAACTCTGATCCCTAATATTGCTTTGAAGAAAAACACTGCTTAGCTGGCCACAAGCTCTGCATTTTTAGCACGCATCTATCCCTCCCCTCCAGACTCCAGCAGCCTCCTACCTGCCCAGCCGTCGGGGTTGTCTCCCCAGCTATCATCTTGATGACTGTGCTCTTACCAGCTCCGTTGGGCCCCAGGAGTCCTAACACTTCTCCTGAAATCAGTACACAGCATTTCTTGGTAAGGCCTGCCGTTCAGCTGAGATATCAGGCAGTCTCATAAAAAAAAAGCTTAAAAGAGAGTATGCTAATATCAAAGATCATATACAATTATACAGATGCATGAATATGTGATCAGAGAGGCCATAAATTACTTTTCAAATCTGTAGCTGATGCAGTGATGTAAGTCTGAGCATCACTTCCAGAAGCTGCTGCTGAAGTGACTGCTGTAGAGGAGGTTAAGATTTTTGGTAGTGGAGAATCATAGGTAACTGATTGGATGTCTGTGGTGTTCAGTATCTCACCAGCCATACACTGGATGTGCCTTAAGCATGGAGCAAATGGATTCCACCTCGGTGTCACAGCTCAGATAACAGACCTGCAGAGGATTAGCTCTCTGGGTATGGTCAGAGTAAAACAGTTCCAGTCCTCACCTTTTTTAACACAGAAGGAAATATTTCTGGTGGCCATTTTCTTCTTCTTCCTAAAAACGGAACCAGCTTTCTCAATTTTATATTCCTTGTAGAGATTACTGACAATAATAACTGATTTCTGAAAGCAAGGAGGAGGAAGAAAGATCAGTCATTATACTGAATAGCATTCATCCTTCTGTAATATTTTTGCATTTTAAAAGGAAAAAACTTTAAAAGATCTGAGAACTTGAGATGCCACAGAACATTGTCTGTTTTCCACTTAAAAGGTTTCTTTATCCTGGTAGGACCCACTCTGTCCACTTGAGAGCTGGGTTTTTCCATTGAGGAATGAATAGTGCAGCCAGAGCATTCACTTGCCCTTATTAGTATTGGTGACTTTTTTCTAAACCAACAGTCTTATCACTGATATAAAGCAAAAGAAGGAGAACCACACTCAGCCTTACCTCCTCCTGGCTTGGAGCTGCTATGGCATTTTTCACCGCTTCTCTTTCAGCTTTAACATCCTCATCTTCCTCTTCAGGCTCCTCGGCATGCTGATGGCTGTTCTCTTTTCTTGGGAAAATTCTACAAATCCAACAGGTTAATCTTAGCCTTTGGGCAAGATGTTGTCTTCCAAGAAAAGCAGTATGCTGGAAGTACCTGTGGTGTGTTTATACAAACCTAAATATTGGGTCCTTTCTCAGAACTGGCCTTCCGTATTTTATCTCCAAATAACGAAGGAGGAAAATGAAAACCACAGAATGGATGTAAGGCTGAAAAAAAAGAGGTTGCCACACTGACAGACTTGCCTTCCATTCTGCCGTGGCTGAAGCTGAAAAGATGGTGGCAGAGTCATAAATTACGTGAGGGGGAAAACACAGCATGTGAAATTAAAGTTAGTTGCCATTTAAACACAGGGTAATCCTGAAAGCTGTGAACTCTGCTATCATTCACCAGTACTGCAGAAAACACCAATGACAGAAACATCAAGCCACCTAGACTGATTTCCTTCCCCATTTCAAAGGAACAAAACTATTTTTTCACAGATGGGTCATCTGTCATCCAGGTCCCCAGGATCCTCCTTCTATGTAAGGTGAACTGGCTTACTGAGGATACAGCTTGGAAGACACACGTTCCTAAATAAAATTATTCTTAAATGTTTTCTTACTGCAAAGACAGCTATGAGTACGTTGTTTTTTAGGAAGCCTTCAGTTAAGTCGGAGTCTTCTATAAACATCTGTAGGAGTAAAAAAAACACACGATGAAGACCTGCAATTCTTTTATATAATGGTGGATAGTGTTAAAAGGTTTAAATGCAAATAACAAATACATTGAGTATGCACAAAAGCTTCTAATTTATCCAACACATTCACCATACCCTCTTCACTTTGGGTATTCCAGTCCTACTCCAAAAAATGCTGTCCCACTCAGTAGATGCATCAGGCTCTGTTTTGGAGGGATGGTGGTTTGTCAGAAGAAAACATCTCCCTCCTTTGCTGGCCCAATAGAGAGGAGGATGGAGAGAGGGGGACGATGCAGAGGAGGGGTCCTTTTTTGGTTAAACTTTTCTCCTAATTCCCTTCTGGCACATAAATGGCTTTGCATGTAGCTGGATGGGTTTTTCTACATTCCCTGCTCTCTTTCCACGGCCACTCCCAGCTGATGTGCAGTAAAACGCTTTGGGAGCATCCATGACTCTCACTCAGTTTTCATGCAAAGTCATTTGTGCAATCTTATGTGATTGTTCAAGCCAAGGTGCTTGACTTTGCATGGGAAGAACTAAGATTGCTTACCTAACCCACAAGTCACAGTCCACGTGAACGAGAAGCAGCCCATAGCAGTAATGGACAGATAGAGAAATTCCACCTAGTCTGAAATGATTACCCAACAGATGGCAGTGCAGCCATTTACCTGCTCAATGTTGAGCATGAGGCCCAAGGGCGGGTACATGGGGATCAGCAGAGACAGGAGGTAGAGTGAGATTTCGAGTTCTAGTGCGTAATCCATGATTCTGCTGATAATGAAAGTAACAAGGCATACCTACAAATGAAACAGGGGGGTTATTCAGCTATTCAAGATGGACAAGAAACATAAAGACAAGAAAGGATGAGGGTACAAGAGGTCGTTATCTATCTCTGCTGCTGGTTTGGGTCATCTGGGGAATCTCCTTCCCAGGCACAGTGCTGCTTTGGTCAGAAAGAAGCAGTATGGGATCCCGTTCTGTTCCCATCCCACTTCACACTGTCCCATCTGATCTACACAGAGTAAGGGAATGGAGCACAAATTCCCCATTGTTTTGTGTTTTGAAACTTTAACTTGAGCAAGACTTTGGGGGAAGAGAGAAAGAAAGGCAGTGCTTGTAAGGATTGACCCAAACTGTGAAAAGCATCCTTATTTCCAGAACTGTGGGAGTAAAAGGCTGGGGGAAAGCAGGGGGACTGCCAGAGAGCAGAACAAGGTGACAGTGATTTCCATTGATTTTTTTGTTATAAAACACATGCCCTTATCCATGTCCTGGATCTATAATTGGTGTTTTGACCTTTAGGTTGTCTTTAAGAACTCAAAATACATTTCTGTAAACCCCATATTGCATTATTGAGCCATATGCTTACCACTATTAGGATAAAAGACCAAAAATCACAGTTCCATCCTTTCCGAAAGAAGAAGGAGATAAAATAGATTAAGAAAATGATAGAAACTCCATAGCCAAAAACATTCATGATCTGCAGAGAAAAGTGCTTTTATTAGAGAAAATGGAGTCACATGAACAACCAGAAACCTATATACAACACTGTGGTTCAGCTTATGTAGGCATTCATTAAGATCAGGACATTCAGAAATTACCACAATTTGACTGCTTAGTGTACAGCAGTGTATTAAGGCAGGATTTATTGCCTTTCTTTTCCAGCTGGGAAAACTCACATTATAAGAGGTGAAATGAGGAGAAAGGCAGTAAGGATCTGGGGACCAGGAGATATGCCAGCATTGGCTGTACCCACATATTTTCTTCCTGTCT